ACGCATATCTGATATTCGTTTCGAATCTACTTTGGGGTTCTCCCGGCAGTAACCCATTAGGTTCTACTGCACTGGGAGTATGAGCACGTTTCGCTAGAGTTTTCCAGATGTTTTATGACACTAGTACAAATAATTATGAGCAGGAAAGTTTTGAAGTCTTAAATACAATTTTCATGACATTACTTGTCAGATATTTTATTGCCTTACTAAACGGAGTCTCTTATTCTCAAACATTGTTGTTCTCGTGTTTTGAATTCGAACTATTATAAATAATTAATATTAGTTTACTGGTAAAATGTCTAATCGACATTTCTCGAACGTTTCAAATAAAATAATATTCTACAAATTTTTTAGGAATATTAAAACCATGATTTAATTGTAACTTTATTGTAGAGATTCTAAGTGAAGAAAGAATAAAATAAAAAAATGAAATATAGAAATTAAATAATGAAAGATGATAGTAAAGTATTAAAATAATATTAAATAGTTATGGATATAATAAATTATAATTGAATATAAAAGCGGATGTATAGTAATAATATTTAATAATGAAAAATAATCAAGCTAATGATTATAAATTTATAATAGGTTTATGAAAGTATAGTTAGATATATTGTGAAAATGTTTACTTTATGATTATTTTTTTATGTTACTTTATAATTTACTTTTTAACCAATTAACTAATTAACTTTTTAATCAGTTTTTTATCAAAGATCAATTTAAGAATTACTTTCCGATCGTTGGAACACTCGAGCTGTAAAAGGTCTCGTGAATTTATAACAGTTTACGGATACTCTGGAAATTTGTATCAAACTAAAGAATGACTTACGGAAGGGATTTTGTGCTCTCAAAAATACATTATTTGCTAAAGGAAAGATTGATATTTTTTCGGTTATGGAAAATTAAATTTTGTCCACTAAGTAGTTATACAAAATCACTGTTATGGGAGACCAAGTTGTAGTAACATTCTTTATAGAAATATATGATCGTTATAGAAACTAATGTATAAATTAAATATAAAAAGCACAATATGTAGATAATAAAATTGATTTTATTATGTCTTATCGAGCCTGTGTTTCCATTTATATTGTATAATTTATGATAAAATATGTTTAAATTGAATAAATATAAACATTCGAATAAATTGTGCTTGAATACATTAAAATCTAAGGTGTTTGCTATTATATAAAAAATTATATAAAAAACAGTAACCTTTTCTTTTATCATTTTTTTTATTGTATAGTTAACAATAATTCTAGTTTTTGAATTTTTTTTTTATACGAAATATAGCTCGATTACTTTACCCATCATGTTATTCCCGATGTACTTGATAGAGCTATAATAATCGAGTACTCGTGTATGTTCGAAACGAATTCAATGTGATAGCGTCATTACATAATATGAAGAAAGAAATATAATACATCACACGTAAAAGCAGGTGAAATATACAAACATAAATATATATCGAGACATTGCTCATGTATTGTATGGTGGAAATTCAATCCTGTCAAATGTTTTCTCAAATGTCTTTCTATATACTTCTGAGGCTTTCTGATTATGGAAATTAATTATATGGCTGTCTCTATTTTACGACTTTTTGAAGTATCTCAAATTATGATAGTTTTATAATGTAAGTAATAACGAAAATCACAAGATATAACTATAGTTAATGTTAATGTGGGTGTAAAGCATTTCTTTATTGTAACAGCAGTTAGCATTGTGACATTAAAAGGTTGTTTTTGTTTTGATTTAATTTTAATCTTATGAAATACTTGGAAAATAATTTATTATATGAATAATAAAAATAATTTATTTCTCGAATATTGTAAAATATGTCTATTGTATTTAAATTTTGCATAATTAAACTGCTTCATTAATTTTGTTATAATTAATAAATAAAATAATTTAAATTTCTGAAATGTTTGAGAAGTGAATGTAATAATTTATTGTAACACTTGCGATTATTAATTCTATAAATTACATAAAAACTAATATACAATTAATTTTCGTGCATATTTTTAAAATATCTTGCTATTGACTTAATCTGATTTAATATAACATCATTAAATTATTAATACAACAAAATCAAATATTTTATCTGTTTCCACATTATTTTATTACTGAAAATTCAGGAATCAGCTTCGGTCCAATACTTTAAGAACTAAAGTATTATTTTTGTATATTACTATATGTAGTATTACTAAATTTGCTGCTGGTGAAAAAATGAGAAGCATTATTTTATAAATACCATAAATACTTATTTCAATTTAAAATATTATATTGTACTGATAGATAGATAAGTTATGGACTTATTTTAAAATTAAAAAAATTTTTTTATATATTTTTCTTTTCAATAGATAATGTTACTTTATTTTTTAATAGCAGATGAAAATCATTAATTTTTGTTATCTATTTCGTATAATAATTACCAGAGCTACTTTATTTTTTAAAATAATCCCTAAAACTACGTGACTCCATAATAAAATACACGTTAAAACATGTTACTGTTAAAAATATGAACAATATAAGAAATCTGTAGTATCGGTCAGCAAATCATAAACAATCTGGGAACTAAAACAATCGGCAGAGAGATGATGATGAGTATACCTTAATTTTATAGTAATGTAACGTCCCTCAACATTGGAAGACATATATTTATTTATGTATCTAAATATTTTTAATAAATCGAATACAATTTGAAGTTATTTTATTTTTTATTTAAAAATTTCACAATAAACAAATCAACAAGTTACAATGATGCATAAACACAATCACTGTATATATTACGGTAAATTAATTTTATAGAAATCAGATTCGGCTGTAACTTATTTAATGGTAACACTTATTATGTACAATAAACTAATGTTTAATGTAAAATAAAATATTGTATAGTAAAACAAATATAATAAATATAACAAATGCTTTAGGTATAGAAATAATTTTTAAACTATGTAGAAAATAGGATTATTATTTAAAAATATGTCTTTTATTGTATATTTAAATAGATATATTATTATTCAAATATTTTTATATCACAATAACGTTTCCAATTGCTTAAAGTTTTAACGTTAAATCTAAGTTCTCTGATGCGTGTGGTTTCCCTGTATTGGGTTTTTCTGAAATAAGTATTATTATTTTTGTATTAAAATTTTTAGATATGAAAAATAAGGAATGAACTATTTTTTTTAGTATTGAACTTACTATGTCTAAACATTTTGTCACATGCCTCTTCACAACCAATTCTGCATTCGTCTATAAGACCTATATTTAATGTTGATAAATAAATAAGATATTTATAAATGATCATTATAAAATTAAATTGTAAAAATGTTTTATCTTACATATTATTTTTTATTTCAATAATTTTAAAAATTATGAATAATAAAACCATTACATTTTTATGAATTATAAACATAATTTATCAACCGTTAGATTAAATTTTAATTAGAATAATTACAATTAATTTCTTTTTTTACTCTTATAATTCTCATTTTTTATACAAATTTCAATGTTATTTTAATTATGTAAAATACTGATATATTGCGTAATTATAATTAAAAAATAATATAGTTTATGAATTAATGTTGAAAACTAATATAAAATGTATAAATGTTATATCTTATTATTTTTATTAATACATTTATTTAACGATAACAACATTTAGTAAAATATAATATTTTTCTTACCCTTACAACCCATTATGCATTTTTTTCTGTCAGGATATCTATTTGATTCTAGATAATATAAAATAATGAATATTTTAAATAAACATTTAATGAAAGTAATTAAATTGTTATAAATTAATGGATGAAATAATATTTTAAAAAATGAAATAAAAATTAATGTTATTTTATTTTTTATTTTAATTTAATTTAATAATATATATTACCTATTTGATATAATATAAAACAATGCATTATGAGAATATTTTTATACTTTTGTTAATTAATAAATCTAAATTTAATATCAGAATTGACTGGAACTTTAATTCAATTATAAAATCAAAAGTTCATAATGGAATGTAAATATTTTTTTCGTATTTTAAATATTGCTATATACTCACATATAGAAAAAATGTAACTTCTATTACTCACAAGTAGTTTTCTACTGACTAGTAATATAATTGATTTTAACTAATGAAATTTTAACTAATGAAAATTTAACTAATGAAAAAAATATAATAATTGTATAAAGCATCGAATCATAAATTAATCGTTATAATTATAAATAAAGAATAGATTAAATTTAATGGATGTTATTCAATTTTATATTTGGTTGAACAAACTTCTATATAATAATAAAACGATTTATAAAATTTATATATTCTAACATGTCAATATATTATAAATTTTTAATACTTATAATTATAATATTATAAATTCTATACTTTCTTATTCATTATTATTTAGAAATATTCAGTTGTGACTTTCATAATCTCAATATCTTCATAAAATATTGATATTTATAATTAAGCGAATATATTTGTAGAAAAGATTAAATAAAACGTATTTTATGAACGTATATATCAATATTTTATTATTTGTAGCGAAAATCTTTATTCAACATTTCCTTTACAATAAAAGTAATTGATAGATCTGTCCCAAAAATATTAAATATAACTTCATGAAATCGATATTCATTGTATGACATTAAATAACAAGTACAATTAAAAATTTTTTTTACATAATTTTGCTCTACATAATATTTCTAACCGTTCAAGTGATTATTGATAGTAAATAATAAATTAGAATAATGTAATGAAGTCAAATTGTCAACAAAAGAACAATCTGAAATAATTATCCAATAGCTTACTGTTTTGAATATTTTAAGTAGAAAAGAAAAAATAATGACATCCTCCAATTATTAAAAAATTATTCTCTTTCTATGAAGAGATAACAAATTACGTAAAAATATGATCTTTTAAATAGTATTTATATCTCGTTAAAATTTTATAGTGAAAATAATTGGATTAACGTAGAATACATGAGTAGGTTCTCCGATTATATATTTTTATGAATTATTAAACTTCCGGTAGCTTCATACACATGAATATATCACGAAATTGTAATTGATACTAATTATCATACGTAAATTGATAAAACATTCAAATGTTATTCCACTTACTTGCAAACTTTTTGATACATGTTAAATTACAATTGTGTTTTATCTGGTCGGGAAGTGCTATATTTAAAAATTGAAACATAAGTTTAAAAAAATATAAGCTATATACAAATAAACTAAATACAAACAAAACATAGATATTCTAAAAATGGATTAATATTGTATAAAACTTTCAAATAGTTCATCTATGCATCACTATGAAATGTTGTTCATATATTAATAATTCTATGTTCTAAAAGTTTCAAAAGGGCGCCAATGAATCTTATTCGGCATCGAAATATTGTATTTTTGTTTCTTAATTAATATTCATATTCTTAAGCAATATACTCCATTTATAGAATTTTCATTTTAATTTATTCTATTATGTTATGTTTATTTTATTATCAAACTTTTTCTTTTGAAAATCCAATTTTAATACGATATCATAGCTATTAAATCTCAAAATGTTATTTATCGAATTTTAATTTATTGTAACCGAAAAAAATATGAGAAAACAAAGTAAAAGATTATACAAAAATTATTTTAGATAATGAAAAATATTAAGATGTATATCGTATTAATTTAATAAATTTTTTTTAATTTAAAAATACACTTTTTACCATTGCAGCATGCTTCACACTCCTCCTTCGTATATGTCAGATTCTTTGAACCTATACGGAACAGACTATATAAATTGATTGAATCAATATTATTAAAATTATATTTTAAAAATAAATATACCTCTACCACAATTTACAGAATATATGATAATAAATAATAAAAATATCGAAGACTTCATTTTATTTAATTTTTTCTATTATATTTTTTATATATTTCTTATATTTTTAAAGATACTTTTTTATCAATTATATATTTTTAAAACTATACATTCTTAATACAGTAGTTATTATTCTTAATATAGTTTTTAGTACAGTTATTGCATTAATAATAGATATATATAATAGTAAAGTATGATTTTCCAGAACAATTATTTATTTAACTTATTTTTATATCTTTATTAAACTATAACTATATATTTGTTTAATAGTTTTGTTATTCATATTTCATTTAAAAAGAATATTGTAATCTTGTATTAAATTCAATATGACAAATTATATCATTTTTACAGTAAATTAAATAGCTTTTATCGTAAATCAAATAGTTTTTATCGTAAATTAAATAGCTTTTATCGTAAATTAAACAGTTTTTATCGTAAATTAAATACGTTACAATATAAAATAAATTATATAATATACGGAATTATAGATATATGGACCTGTTTACAATGATTAAATCTTAAGTTTGGATTTAAAAATTTTATATTTTGAATATTTATATTTTAATATTATTATATTAATTAAATACATTAATCAATATATATAATAACTATGAATTTAATATTATTATTAAAATATTCAAAATAAAAAGATCGAAAAAGATCTGCTTGTAATAAAAGATGCCCCTTATACAAAAAATAAATTTAGATTACGAAATATACGTTTACTAATACAGTCGATATTTTTATTTTTTTTACTATTTTGAACAAGCATATTTCAAATCTTAAAATTTCAGAGATTATTTTGTTATTTATCACACATTTTTTAATGCTTCTTAAATCATACCCAAATATTAATTTAATAGTTTTGTTATTCACATTCCATTTTAAAAACATAATTTAAATATTAATAGTTATTTAATATTATTTTAATATAATATTTTCAAATGTTACATTCAAAATTAAATTTGCTAATATTTGTAAAATATCCTTTTATGTACAAATTTGAATTCGACAAACTATAAATAATTAATTAATACTGTCAATTTGTAGCCAGATCATTGAGAATGGTTAGACCCTTAAATGCAAAACATAATTTAACGACATAATTATTTATATTCATATATTAGTTAATTATAATTTTAATGTTAAATTTGGTATAGAATTATGGTAGTATATAAATGGTTAAAATAAGATTCCTAGCATATCTGTTATTATTAACTGAATTCAAATGTATAGATATATAAAGATATTTTGTTGATAGAATTAAAGAATTAATTTTTCCATGGAATATTAAAAAAAATTATTTAAAAATAATATTAAAAATCGATTAGCGCAAAATCATTTTTTTTAACAGAATATGAATAACAAAATCATTAAATTAATATATAGTTGCAATTAAAAAAAATTAAATATATAATTGGTTCAAATACGATATTTTATCTAAAAAGTGTCATTTAAAATTTTAAATACTTATTATTTAGCAAAATTTGAAAGTAGTAAAATAAAATAAAAATATTCCAAATATTAGTAAAAATGCATTCGGCAATATTGATTTTATTAATTTTAATATGCCATTTATCCACTATTATGGGTAAATTTATTTAAATTATACAATTTTTATCATAAGAATTAATTTAATTTATTTACTTACTTTGTCAAGGACTGAGACGACTTACATTTACTAAAAATGAATGTTTGTTATGCTGCAATGGTAAATAATAAATTTACTTTATTTAATAAGTAATTTTTGTTTATGATTTTGCAAGTAATTTTTGTTAATATAATACACACTAGTTAAGAGAAAACTTCAAAGAAATTTGTTTTTGATGAGATGTTTGAAAAACGATCATCATCTCATTTATATTTTTGTATACTGAGAAAATTAAATCATTATTCCATTGATTATTTCGTTAACAAATTATTGTTTTTGTATAATAACATGATTTGTCAATAATTAACCTTCAATATACATGTATAGTGGTGGATTTTTAAATCCTTTTCAATCAATGGTGCAATTATAAAAATTTTCACAAAGAAGAAACTATTCATTATATAAATTGTTACAATTACAAAGGATCTTTATCTTCAATACAACAATAATAATAAAAAAATCATTGACGCCGTATAAAACTATGTTAATATAATAAAAAGAGCGTCTTTCATTTCTGTATGTAAAAAAAAAAAATAATATAAGTAATATATATAATTTACATTCATTTATATGCATAATAATTAATCAAAATAATGCGTACAATATTAAACTTCATATTTAATTCTAAACAATGAAATATTATGTTAAACTTTCATAAATTACTTTATATTGAACATAACTTAAAAAAATTGTAAGAAAATAATTATATTGTAAAATTAAAAATAAAAAAATTAATGAGTTATCAACATATGATATGTAAATCAAGGATTCTAATTTGTAATAGTCATAAATTGAAAGTAATTACTTGAAAATGATCTATTCATTCATTATTCCAGATTCCGTAAGTATCTTTTATAATATTTATTTCATCTGCAACATCTTAATTGTAAAAATGTGTTGGAAAATGCATGAAGAAATATTTCAATTATTTCCATTAAAAACAATATAATTCATTAATATTGAAATATAAAAGAAAAATTGATTAATTATATGTTATTTTGAACATATGTGTCTTGTTATTTAATATAGATCTACCCAATCAGAAGTATATGCAATGTCAAACATCGTGTGTGAAAAAGTTTACTAGTAAGTAAAATAAATATTGAAAATTCATCATAATATTCTTTATATGTTACAACGATTAATATTAAATAGAAGAATATTATTAAATATATTACTTATTTATTGTAATAAAAAATGTCTATATATTATATTTAAAAATATTGGTATATTATAGTCAGGCTAGTGATTCTATATATTTGGATACTCTTAATTCTATATAGATATTAAAGTGTTTATAACTAATGTACTGTTATTATTTATATTATTCTTTTTCCTATAATCGAACAGCATATTTGTGCAAAAAGTGAATGATTCTATAATTGAACAAAATCTATAATTTTCCTCTTCTCTGCATAGAATTTATTAATATTCATTGATTATATAAGCATTTTACATATTGCTTTTCCTGAGAAATAGATCCATAATCAAATCATTTAATTTTGTTATATAGTATTGATAGTATCTGTAAAGTTTAAATATCTAAGCTAATATTTTAGCTATTATTTCGAGATATGCAGTAGTTACTAGATTATGAAATTTGTATCCATTGTGTTGATATCAATTTTTTTTTAAAATAAATTACGATAATATAGAAACTTTATTTTTTAAGTTAGATTTAGAATGCTAGATATAACATTATATTAGCAATAAATAAATAATATGATTGTTGTTATAATTAAAGCACAAAATATTAAGTCTTAATGGTTTATTTTCTATTACATTGATTCTCTAACTTTAACTTCTTGGGACTATTCTCCTATTATTAATACGATTAAACATAATTCTGTTTATCTATTAACCACTTTGTCCTACACTTTCTTAAAATAAATTATAATATGCATTATTTATCTTAACATCTTGGTTCATTTATTGAAATACATCTACTTTGTTTATTTTCTGTTATTTAGAATCGACTCTCTACAATTCTAAAGCTCATTGTCTCGCAGGATGTAACGGTGAGATAAAAACTTATTGATTACTTTATATAATTATGTAATACAATAATTTATATAATATATTCTATAAATGTTCTTTCTTTTCAACTATTTACTTATGTAAAAATTATAATTGAGTTTTGTATTTCTTAATTTTTAATCATATGAATTTTAATTGATAATTATTATTATTAAAAATATAAAATTGTTTCTTAAATTTAAAATTAAGATTGAATAATTAAATTTTTATAAAAATATTCATTAGCTAATTATTAAAAAGAATAGATGCTCAGTATTCATATTAGATGTTAGAAATTTGTAATTAAATTATTATTTCCGAATATTGAATTTATACACTTATTTATATTCAATAATTTTAATATCATATTACATTATAAGTAAATAATAGATTTATCTAGATCAATATAGGAATTATTCAATAAATTAGAGAAATGCTTTTAAAAATTCATAATACCACATATGTTGAATTACATATTGAATTCTGATTTCATTTTTATTAACATTAAAATATTATCCTATTATTATTATGTACAAAATTAACTAAATACAAATTAATATATCATAATGCCATTAATATATTATAATATTATTGAAACTTTTCTTTTTAAAAAACGAGATTTACTTATTGTTCAGGTATAAGAGGTGTTAACTATTGCAAAAACCTTCACTGAGTTAGATTCAGAGTAGTGTTATATTTATTAAATTATTTCATAACGAAATCTTCTTTGAAATTTTTGATTTGCTCAAATAATTATAATTTTAATACATTATAATTTGTCATATTTTAAATGATTTTATTAATATATGTAATCATTAGACATATCACAGAAATACTTAACTGATTAATATGTAGTTGAATAAAATAATCATGACGTTACATCAAGTATCATAATGCCAGTGATAATTTAATTATATATCGGAATTTTTTATCTAAATAATCGAGATGTGACTGTTACAAATACAAAGTAAACCAAGTCTAGGTATCGTTGAAGTTTTTCAAACCAATCGAGTAGACTAATTACAACTTTTCAATCTAGAAACCATTTGAATTATTCAGCACCTAATTCCTTCGAAATGAGTTTATTAATAATCTTCTAAATTATTCTAATATTTGATCCTCATATTCAAACTAGTACTGACATTGGAAATAGTGGACATTGGAATAGTATTTTTATCGGTTTAAGTTATTCAAGATCGTAATTATTGTGATTGAAAGACGAATTATTAGATTTTCCTAATGAGCATTGTTTTTTAAGTTTCAACAGGGTAATACTATTTATTTAAAAATAGTTATTCTGCTTATTTGTAAACTAGTTTCGCTTATATCTTAATCATGATTATTTCTCGAGTAAAATAAAAATATCAAGATAAATAATATTATAATACAACATTTCAGTAACATTTCAGTGATAATATGTCAGACTTTTATTAAAAACAGTGATGCAAATTATATAAATTATGAAGAAAATAAATTAAAAATTAAAAAAGAATATAAATTAAAAAGGCGATAAAATCAATTAAGATCTTAATCAATAATAGACACATACAAAAATTTGAAAAACACTTTATGATTCTGTTTATCATTTGCGAAATTTATATTGACATTATGAGCAATGTTTATTTTTTATTTTGATATTCAGCATTTTCGATGAATCACGTCAAAATTTTCAATTGAATCTTTAAAAGTGGAACAAAAATATTAAATATATATAACTTTATGCTTAATTTATGAAAAATTAAAATTATATTATAAAAATTAAAAACGAGTCAATTATTACGTATCATTAAATTATTTATCTGAAAACAAAATCAACAAAAACTTGATAGTTACGTTGAAAATGATTTTAAACTAATACAGCTCAATATTTTTACCTTAAGATTATATAATTACTAATCTATTACATAAGGTTCAAATTAAATACTTAAAATTTATTGGTGTTTATTTATTTAGATTTGCTGAAGCATCTTTTTATATGTGCCATGTAAATATATAAATTGAAATGTAAAAATTTGTTTAATATTTACTCAAATAATCGACGTATGTAAATAATATGAGATGATAAACAATTAACTAGACAACTTAATACTATACTTCCATAATATATATATAATAAAACACGTATCTTTTCGCGCGATAAGACAATTTTTTCAAACTTACTGAAGATGAAGGCTCATAATATTTACTGGCAATACATTCATACTGACAGGACATGTTTGATGGGATAGATTTAAAAATTTAGTGTTTCAGCGGAAAAGTAAAATCAAATATGAGATTTGTATAATTCACTGTATATTGAATTATACACTTAACACGTGCAGGTCTTAAGATTGCATTAATGTATTTATAAAATATGATTTCTCCACTTGCCAAACGAACATAATGATGACAAAAGTTAGAAATTATTACTATTCTAAAAATTTATGAATCAAGTTCACGATATTTTAAATAATAAAGTATCCAATATATTTTATAACTAAGTTCTAAAATAATATTAGTAATAATACATCTTCAATAAAAAATTTTTATTATAAATCTATGTAAAATCATAAAAACTCTAACATAAAAAGTTAACTCAATGCATTATATACAGATTATATAAATATTTAGCATATAGATTGATATTATAAACTATTCCTTATTAAATGTGTGATTCATGTAATGACGTTCTCAAAGCTACCACAGTAATTCGCAAAAGATTAACATTCGTTAAAAAAGTCACATTGGTGTTTAATTGTCTTCACAATTTCAAAAATTAATTATAACTGTATTTACTTAAATAATGATTTCATTATATAACATTGTTTATGTATAAATATTTAAAAATATATAGTTATTATGGAAGAATGTAGAGTCGGTTGTACACACTCATGTAACGTAATATTCAGATATAGTAAGTACAATAAAGAAAATAGTTCTTATCATTATTTTTCACGGAAATATTGTCATTTAAATATATTAAAAATACTTATTTCAGAAAGACCTAATTTAACAACGCCACCAAGATCACATGATATAGATTTATCATTAAGGCTTTAAAGAATTGGAAACATCATTAAAATATAAAAGAATTGTACAGTAATACAGATATGTAAATATAGTATATCAAACATGTATTTCTGAATAGTATACTTTTACATACACTTTCATCTAATATTCAATATTAATCAATTTACAGAAACATATAATTTCCATAAAATTAATTACTTACGATATATAAAATGATTGATTTAATGCAAAATTATTTTAAGTAAATTTTTTTTCTTCAAATTGATAATTGCTGGGTAAGTAAAATTTTGTAATATAAGTGTGATTTCTTATATGAAATTAGGAACTGATAAAACAAAGTATGAATCATTAATGTTTATTGAAAAAAAGTTTCTTGATGAAAATTCTTACAAATAATTAATAGTATATTATTAGTAGAAAAACATTAATATTATTAACAATTAGTTTTAATAATTAATAATTTATAACAATATTGTTATTTACCTATATTTTTGTTACATATTTGTTCATGGAACAATTGTTCATGACAGAGTAATTAATGTTAAAACTGGTGCAACGTGCTTTACAATATACAAATACGTTTTCCAGCAATTCGGTATAACCGAGTAGTGATAAAATAACCAGTTATATTAACTCCTAAGTCTAATTACTGACTTTTCAAAATCGTCCAATTTTTATTCAATTCATTAGCAAATTGTGAAATTCGTGTATTGATTTTATTTGGCCAACCGTACTTATAACTATTAAATCCAATATCATTTTTTAAATTTGATGATTGCTATAGCGTGTATTTTTCAAATTTTGACACGATATAGTCTTCCTTCTTGTAGTGGTCATCTTCTGGAAATTTTCAAACAATATTAGAATCTGACTAGTTTTGATCAATTCGTTTTCTATGTTAAAAGATGAGAAGCCTACTATATTTGTTGATGTAAATCAACATAGTGTGTCGCAAGATAAAATGTTTTCGTAAAAGGTGATATTTTTTTCCAGATGAATAGATTTATCGTAATTCATAAATATGGATTCACTATAACAGTAGTATCTAATACAATAGTATCTATATCTCTATCTATTTATCATGAATTTTTACACAATGGTAAATGATTCCGTATATACAAATAAATAAAATATATGATTAGGTTAAGATTCAATATAATATTAGATAGATAAAGTATATCATTATTTATTTTATTAAATTTTATAATTTACAAATTGTAAATACTTTAAAAAATGTAATCAGAAATTTCATAAAATATAATTAGTATATAACTAGTTTTTTAGAAATCATATTTATGTTACATCTTATATTTAAATTGATACTTTTACTTCAATTAGATTTATAAGCAAAAAATATAAAATCATACTTTTTATGAAATTATATTAAATTCATTTTATTATTTGTTCTTATTTGTACATAAATATCATTAATAATTCAAGTGATTTACTTCTAAAATAATACAATATCTTTTATAAGTGAAGAGTGTATTATAGTGCTATGTCAACTTTTACCAGATGTAGAAAAATTAATTTCATTGGTGTCCCTACATTCATTAAATAATGATGAGATTTCTTCCTCAGTCATATCAAGCATGTTGCATTGAAATTCATCTGAAAAGGCTCTCTTTAAGACTGGAATTACATCATGTACGCTAATATTGGTCAAAAGTTCTTTGCTTAGACTCGCTACGCTCTTGCCCTCGATACCACAAGGTACAATATGCTCAAACCAATCTAGATCAATGTTGCAGTTAAGTGCAAGTCCATGACTTGTGACAAATCTACTGGCATGAATACCGATTGCACAAATTTTTCTATCCTCTATCCATACTCCAGTATCAGGAGATGTTTTACCCTTAAGTCCAAATTCTGCACACAATCTAATAATCATACGTTCGATTTTTGATACATAGCAACGTACATTTGTGCGAAAATCTTTAAGGTTGATTATTGGATAGGCGACCAGCTGTCCTGGTCCATGAAATGTTATAAGACCACCACGATTCGTGCGATAAAATTCAGCATTGAGAGCTCTGAGTCGTGATTCTTCTTCATGAGTGTAAATTTTATTACGAATTCCAACAGTATATACTGGATTATGCTCTAAGAGTACAAGGCTATTCGGACTGTCATTCTGCGGCTTCTCGTGATGTCGGTTTATCAAAGATTTTTGTAAGAGTAGACCAGTTTTATAGCTTAGACGACCAGTCCATACAACTTTTACGATTCTAGCAGTCATTCTACACTTTGTTTTCGTTTTTTTCTCTTTTTATTTTTATTTAACAACAGTTTTCAAGTATATATATACATAATTTTTAGTTTGTGCACTATTTAATATTTAATAACAATTTTTTCTTATTCGAAAAAATCTCACTCTAAGATACTAATCCTGTCTGTTCCTTAATCTGTCCTAAAATCTTATTTTTCTCTTCAATTTTAAGATAAAGTAGCAAGGAGACCTATGAAAGAAATTTTTATTAATATTTCTAAGAATGAAATAATTTGAAAAGAAAGAAAAATTGAGTTTATTTTTTAAATTATAGAAAAATCATTATTATTAAATAAAATTAGCTATTGGCATATTTTAAATATATAGAATTCTTGATCCATCAATGCAAGTAAATAAGATAATTTTAAACAATCGCTTTCAATTTATAAATAATTTGATCTTGCTGACTATTTATTCAATAATATATTTAAAAAATATTTCATCTATTAATATAAATAAAATTTATACAGTTGATATAACATTTAAATAATTTACTTTTTAACTTTTAGCTTTAAAATAATTAGCGATTAATAATTTTCAATAAAATACTTAGCAGTAAACATTTATTTTTATAAATTATTTTATAACATCATTACATAAAACAGGAGACTATTCATAATCAATTCAGTCAAGCAAGTACAAACTTAATTTGTTACATATAAACTCTATATTACTCTTATTTAAAATTCATATTTATCAAAAAAACACAAAATCTTACAATAAACATAATTTTATGTATTGTATAGAACTAAAATTAAATTTATAATTTATAGGATTATAATTTATAATTTAAAAAAAAAAAAGAAAAAAAACATAATTTATTATTTTAAATTTATATAAATAAAACTTACAAAAGCATCAGTCGCAGCATAAAGTTTTTGTGCACTATTTAATGGATGAATATGCCATTTACTTCTTCTTACTGATGGATCTTTATTAATGTGTTTTTCCAACTTTATTGAAAAAATATTTATTAATATACGTATAAAAAAAAAATATATATATATATGCATATAATTATAGAAATAAAGTAATTACTTACCAAATAGGCAGTTAATTTCTCTAAACTCCAACGACACGATCGTTTCAAAATTTTATTTGCATATGTACCACAATCCAAGCAATTATTATCAACAACTTTCTGTCCTGGAAACTCTTTAAAATCTCTTGTTAATTTCCAAATATCACTAAAAGTATATTTTTTTAATAAATTTGCAGTTTAAAATTATGGTCATCTTATAAAATTGTTTATAAATAAAATATTTAATTATACATTAAAAACTCACTTTTTAATATTGACACCAACAAGTTTTACTTTAGGATGACTTAAAAGTGCAATGAAGCTGGCAGGTAACTTTTGAATATTATACACATGTAATAAATAGCATACAGCTTCTGATAAACAAATTTGAACCAAAGCAGTTTTTCCACTTCCAGTTTGAAAGCTAAATGGCCACTCTAGATCAAAACCCACTGGTACTATTAAGTCTGTCTTATTTTCCACCTCTGTTCTATTGTGTAAAGATAATAAATTTTGTAAAGCAATAACAAAACAAATCAAAATATAAAAATATAAACTTACAATAAGCTGTCACAAACTTTGGCACAGTCATAGAAATCACTAACATAATCGATGATGCCTTTAAATATAACTGGAGATAAGTTTTCATTTTTTATACTTGGAATTATTTTTGGTGGCTTAACAAATATAAAATATATATTATTATAAATCAATAAGTTAGAATAAAACAAAAATTAAGTATGTATCATTATTATATAATAGAAGAAAAGATATTTAATTTTACTTTTTCGTCTGATTTAAGGTTTCTTGTTGACCTTCGACATACTATAGAATCATTATCAACTGTTGATGTTTCTTTGGTTTTTGTATTTTTCTATAAATAAAATATTTGTAGATGTTAAAATACTTATAAATTGTTTGAAAATATCAAATATTATTTCTATTATTATTGATATAAATCAGTATACAAAATTATTATACTAATGTATATGTTACATTTTTATGATAAATTATATTTAAGTCAATTAACATGCAAAACTGATCAAAAGTATATAAATAAATTTCATTATTCGTACTCATCACTTAATAAATAAACTAATTTATAAAAAAGAAAATGAAAAATATTGTGGTTAAAATTTCAAACATGCTTTATATCTTGACAATTAAAGTAATAAAATTATTATTTATAAGACAAATTTCTAAAATGTTCACGTAATCGTAAGTTCACACAAAGCTAAAGTTCCTAAAGTTATATGAAATTCAATTTTCTTTATAACCTAACCTCTTTTTTTAACCAGCTAGTTATCGACCGCAACCTTTTCGATTCCCTTTGTTTAGACATCAGTAATATTATAATATTCTAGTTATATATGAGCTTTGTATCACGTGTTATTATGAAGCTATGATCTTTTAAAGAAAAGGATAATATGCTCCAAAAATTGTAAATTGTTGTGTCGTATGTACAACTAGATTTCCCGCTTAAAAATTAATAGCATTAGTGACATCTATACTTTAATATAGTAACCATAATATTTAAAAGCTGATTTCTATGTATATACATTTTTACGTTTAAATAATATAGTTTAGAGAATATTGGAATAATTACTGTTCATCTTTTAACATTAATTTAAATGTATAAATATAGAATATCAATTATAAATTATATACGACTATAATGATTCTTATTCAAATTCTTCATTTAAACAAAATGAATTACCAATCTCCGAATTAATAATGAATATGAATGATAATAATTGTACCTCAATACTTTAACAACAGTGTATGCACAGAATCAACGTAAAGAATTTAATGCCGATAAAATATTAAAACAAATTAATATAAATTGAATGCAATTAATGAAAAAAAAAAAATTATCTGGGCAGCTTGAAAAACTTATATATCACTATTTTAATATAAATTCTTAACGACAAAACAGGAATTTATTTTTTAAGTTTATAATATAAAATGAATCAGAATTATCACAATATCACTATTATCACTTGCTATAAATCAATAACGTAGTTTATCTGATAAACTAGAGAAGTAATACATTTTACATATTTAAATAGTGAAAATTATACATATCAAGAAAATATGTATAAAAAAATATTAAAATATAGTTAAGTGAAATAAAAGAAAATGTAAGGAATGATCTTAGCTACAGAGTCCTACAGCATGGTATTGATTTTAAGTGCTACTGTTTAAACTAGATCATTGAACAAGTGCACTTCGAATCGTTAAAATGTTCAGAAGTAGATAATCTAGTGTACTAACACATTTGATTTGATATTTCATTTTTCAATGCTTTAAAAATTTATTACCCATCTGAATATTTTTATACTAAACATTTTAAGCGCAAATCATGTGAATATATAATTTAGATGTAAGGTAGAGATTTCCCATATTTAGATGTCAAGAAAATTTTTTTAAATTAGCTGCGACAATACACAATTCATCAAAAAATGGATGAATTCTTTTATAGCATAATGAAAATAATGTTTAAAACTTTTCACTGTAACTTCTCAAAATCTGTTAAAATGTGAAACTCTTGGTGAAGCGAACGATTTTATCTTTTTTCTTTGTATAATTTTTGCGTTTGCCTAGTAATCAATCGCCTAGTAAATAATTAATTATTCCTTATAACTTAATTTCATAATTTTCGAGGTGTGCGAACTGCTGAATAATAAAATAAAGGTTAAAGAAAAACTGTTTCATACAAGCACCAATGTAAATTGCTCCGATTATAAAGTTTTTGAAAACTATTGCAATACAATTTGTGTCTGATATCCACCAAATTTGCTCAAATGTTCTGTACAATGTATTTGTAGTTCATCGTGTGGAAAAGGTAAGAATGTCTAGTCTGGTAAAGTTTCATCTACTAGTATTTTTAAAAATTTTAAATTTACAGCTTAATTGTTTAAAATGTTATTAATTGTTTAAAATGCTTAAATTGTTAAACATCGTAATCTGTATTAAAAAAAAACAACACCCTCTCAACAAAAATATAAGTACATATAAATATGTTTTATTTTTTTAATTAACTTAGTATTATGTTTCTTATTATTAAGTTTAATATTAAGCCATTAAAGATATGTTTTAATAATTTTGAATGTAATAGATTATTATTTAGTTATGTAGCACAACTTAAATCGCAGTACCCGTAATAAATGAATAATATACATTTTAATTATTCTAACATATTTCTGCTACGGTTGAATTTTAAATTCTAAAATATAAATGTACCTAATGGGAAAGATCAAGTATTTTCGAATGAATGAATGAAACGTAATTCTCTATTATCTATGGTTATTAATATTAAGTAAAGTCTGGGAAATTCGCCAGTGTAACAAATAACAAGAATAATATTTCATTTTTTAGCTATCACATATAAACACCTAAATGTATTAAACAATAGCATCCTTGTATTGATCTTTCAAATTTCATAATTTTACAAAAAGGTATAACAAAAATGAATGAAAAAATTGTATATGCCGATAATTAAGTTTGCTTCACTATATGTGCGTCATTTACTTATTTTTCCTTTGCTACCTCGACCATAGAAGTGGAGAAAAAATTCGAATCGCTCTTCGTTTCTAATTACTTTCACAAGTTTTTTCGTTTTTTTTTTAAGGTTGTGGCTTACTAGGTTATTTATTTCAATTGTATAGTTGAATTTTTATTTTTTCAAGATACCAATAATATTTTATTTAATTTGTTTTTTTTATCCTTACATATAGTCCAAATTAGTATTTTAACTGAGAATAATACCAATACCATTTCTTAATTGAAATTGGATGATTTTACCATCCATTAACATAATTATTTTTAGTTGAAAGAAAGACATATTTTTGTATTTAGCTTTTCAAATTACTGTTCCAATTTATATTCAACGAATGCAACTATTTCCATTAAAATAATAAAAATCCATTTTCATTAAGAATTTTCAATACAAATATTAAATACTACATATAATTTTAAACTCTAATTTAAACCTGTTTTAATTAGTAGTAACTATTCTGGATCATACAAATATATAAAATAACTTAAGAAACATACGTTAATTAAATGAAAGTTTAAAAATAAAAAGTAATTATAATAAGTGCATATTAGTTTATAGAATTATTATATAAAAAAAGAAACTATTAGTTTTCACTAGTTCAGAGTAAATTACCTAAAATCGTTGTAGGAAAAACTTCTATACTTGTCGATGCTTCTAATTACTGATGTCCGAAGTTGCGTCCTTTTATATGACCGTTAATGATTTAATTTTCATTTGTCATTCGTCAATATTACGAGAACTCGAGAATAACGATGGAGGTTCTGTTTTGTATCAATGAATTATTTATTTTTTATTTATAATTACTCCTTATCAATTCTTTGGAATCATTTGATTTTTATTATGAATTTCCAATATATTTTATTCATTAATGATATTCATTGATGAAGTAAAATTTCATTTACGTATTGGTATAATTGTTTTGTTATTTTGAAATTGAATAACAATAATTTCTATATATATTATCATAGATATCAATTTACACACAATCCAAGTTTTAGTATTTATAAAGACATAAACGTTATATTAAATTAAATAATATGATAATTATGTTATTCAATTAATTTTTAAATTAATTAATTAAAAGAAACTAATTATACAAAATTCGTTATAAAAAAATCTTCAAAAGAAATTACTGAGACATACACTTTCATTACTGCATAAAATCAGATAAACGTATTGAAAATAAAATATGAAATCTATAATTATAGTAACTTATAATTAAATTTATACTATATATTTATAATATTAAATTATATATGCATTTGACTATTATAAGATTATAAAATTTTAAATTATACTTGACGTTATGAAAAATGGTTTTAAATTAAAATTTTGTTCTCTTGAAAAATGTCCTAATTATTATACAGAGTAAATGTACCGTCAAAAAAAAGAAAGTACATTAAGTCATATTCTTCTCTTGTAGTATTATTATATTGTTTTTATTTTTTTATATGGAATTTATTTATAGAATATTTATTTGTGCAATATTAATCCAATTTTATTTAAACAAATTATTAATAGCTATGTCAGTCGCCTTCCTGAAAAGTAACGGTTCTTTGTTTATTTTGATAGAAAATTTTCAAATTAATTAGTTGAAATGTTTTGGTAATGGTGAAAGTTCGCTCTCAATTTTCTTTATGAAAGCATATCAATCATCACTTTTAAAATTTTGAATTCTTTAGTAATACGTTTTTTCTCATTACCATCTGTCAACATTTTTATACTTTAGACACATCAATAATTTTATCTGTTAGAACAATATAATAAAGTTTATAAAATATTTTGAGCATATTTTTTCACATATAGTTTACTAATTGAAATAGTAAATATTACCAAGTATTATTAATAAGTAAATTTTACAGAAAAGCATATTACTATATTATATTATACATAATATATGATTATATTAGATTTCTTTTGTAAATCATAAAACTGAAAAGGGTCTTGAATTATTTTTAATTTGAATGTTAAGTTTATCAATTTTGTAATAAAAAGTTACTATTTTTTATAATATACAAAACAAACTGCAAAATTAGAACTTATGGTAAAATAGAATCATAATTAATTTTATGTATTCTGTATTATTAAGTAATATTATAAATAAAAATATCTTTA